CTTTCAGACTGGTTAGAAAGATGATGGACAGCAGTAGACTCGCCTCAAAGCAAAAAAAAAAATAGAAAACAATAAATGCAGCAAATCTTACTTACCCAGATAAGATTATCTTCGGGAAGAGGGGATTCTATGTATATTTGTTTACTTTTCCCTACCATTGCAGCTTCGATACTTTGGCATTTTCCCACATTGATAGAGCCCAATTCGAGGAGTTGACTTGATGGACTTCGATAGTGGTTACATGAAAGCAGCGTTCGGCGAGCCATGAAGAAAGGGATGAACTAAAGCAGCAGCATTTCCGTCCAAATCCTTTGTACTTTGTACTTTACGAAGTTTCTTCATAAACTCACTCGACCCAACAAAAAAATGTTACAAATCTTCATTTTCTTCTAATTTCACGCAAAAACAATTGCGATTGTTACAAGGTTGCTCACCTTTAGAGATATGCACATTCGAGCCTAGTGTTATCATTTTTGCTTTCTTATATTTAACTGCATGCCTTCTAAATTATACGATTTACCACGAAATAGTACAAAAAGGAGAGCGGGCACAGCTACATTATTAAATATTGGTCCTGCCAAGAAAATTGCACAGTAGCTTAGCGCGGTGGGAACGCTCTTGCGATTAACGCTTTGCTTGTTTGTTCAAGTAGTTATCATCATAAAATTGTGCAAAAAGTGTTTAAAAGAAAACAAAAAAAGTGTTTAACAAGATTTTACTTGTTCTCCTGAGTTTGCTTGTCCATGCAAGATTTCACCTCGAATTCGCTTCTAGCTGACATGTTAAACATGGGCAAACTTGTCGGTCGCAGTCGTAAATCCTTGGCTTAGGAACTCACTTTCTCCTCGTCATCCACGGCTCCAGACGGATAGGAACGTCTCGCCCCGCTCTCGTCAGGATCGACGCTTTCATCCATACCGCAAATCTCCCTGAATACAATTGGGTTAGTTGGTACTAGATTCCTTCTTGGCATTCACGAGTTACGACAATTTCTGATCAAGAAGCAGACATAGTGCTTCATTATGGTCTTCTATGGTCCAGCAAAAACTTTTCGACCTTTCTCTCATAGTTGAAAGATGCTCTCCGTCCAAGAATCGCTGCTACCTGTTATTTTTGAGCGATTTTAGCAGTACAGCACTAATTGACTATTATGACTATTGAGCTGGTAGCACTAGGTTTAATCAACTTACTCCATTGCTAATAAACCAAACGCTCATGAGAACTGCTCGAGAAATTGGTTCTCACTTCTTTTCATTAACTACTGTTGGTAGCTCTAATTTCTTGTCGGCAGTAGGAGAAGACACAATAATGCAAATATATCACTTTACTCCTTTGTTTGAAATGTTTTGTCTCAAATGATTGAGAAAGAGAGTTGAAGTCCATTTTCCAACAGCTTCTCAACAATTCCATAGCTACGTACTTTCTATGCAATGAGCTAACAATCTTATCAAGCGCAAGATGGGCAATTGCAAATTTCTGACAGAAACTTCGTTTTTTATCAGAACGTTCGAATACTGTATGCGCTGAATTGTAATTAATTTATAAGCAACAAAAAATGTTCATTTATCATTATTAAGGTCTACAGAAAGTTCCTAATGCGACTCAATTCGTTGGCGATGTGAAAACTGCTAGGGGGATTCGGATTCCACATGCAGGTAACTTTATTACTTTCTAAAATCATGTAATATGGTGTGCTTTCTACAATTTGATATTTTTACTTTGTCTTATGTAAACCTTCTCATAAACGAACTTGAAAACCAATCACATTGCTAGCGCTGCGGCGGCGGCGCGGCGTCGACGCCTCTGAGTCTCTTTCTGCCGCAATAATGATTATTATTGATGCGCTAAGCATCGGCGCACGCACCGCCACAATGTCCGCAGTTATAGTTAGCTTGTTTAAGGGATCACTAGAAAGCCTTATACAAGAGTTATTTTGAAGCAGATTTGCATTTTTAGTTTTAATTTTGGAAATTCTGGAAGATAGTGTTGCTATGACCAGTTCCCGCGTCAATTTATTTGTAGATTGATGCAAATAATCCCTTGCCGCTATAGCTTTTGGCCAAGTAACTATGTGGGGTGGTAGTACCTTCAAGCAAATGCTAGCAATTTACTACTTGATTGCTTTTTTTGGCATTAAATTCGGAGCCGCTTTTTACCTTTTCATTATGTTGCTTCTATGCGAAACAGAGAAGAAACGTAACAACGTCGGAATGAGTGTAATTGAATAATCTAATTGTCTAAATCTAGTTGATTTCAACTAATGCCCGCTAACAAACTCAAAAGCACATTTTTGCTTGGGCTCGTTATTACGCATTGCTCCCGTATTATCCCAGTAACCTAAAAATTATGTTTCCAAAGAAGTTCGGAAAGAAAGCTGGATAACAGGATAGCGACTCAATCAGTGTTTGACGTTTACCTAGATAGGTTGAATATCCAATACCTTTTTTAAGGCCGACGAAATGTA